CCCCCCCCCCCAAATTTTCAACGGGTAATACCTACAAGACCCCAGCTGGCAAAGCTCCAAGAAGTTCTAAGTCACAAAGGCAACAAGGAACAATTCCTGTCCCTGGCAGTCTCATGAACCAAATTTTGCGCTCACAGAACAAGGTCTGCTTTGCAGAACCCCCTCCACATCTTACTTGGCAGATTGAAATTGCAAAAGCTGCTTTTTGACTGGAACCTCACGAACATCACCCTGGGCAGTCCCTTTCCTTAGAAGTGAATAGATTGACAGTGTCATTCCTGCCCTTCTATCCATACCAACCTGGGAGGAGCTGTTACAAAAACAATGGGAGAAGGTGACCCAGAACTTGACCCACACCACCAGCTCCTGTGTCTACAGAGGTACTTCTTGACCCCTACTAGCAGAAACTCAACCAAGTCTCTCCTTAGATCTCTGGGGCAGGCTTTACCTAATGTGAGCACAACTCCTGCTGCAGACCACGGGCTACTTCGGGTCTGTTTCTCCAACTGGGACGTCATGTCAAATGTAGTCAAGTGCCAGAAATACAGTGAGCACGTACCTCAAGACACTTAACTATCTTCTGGAGCAGTGTGATCTATGCCAGAACTTGAGCACTAGACTTTACAAGGAAACATGCCCAGAGTCCTGAGGCTCCCTCTGACATAGGAGCATGAAAGCTCTGCCTTGACACTTTAAGGCCTAGTGTGGTATCTTGAGTCTACCAAGAGCCAAAGAAACAGGGCTTCTGTAGACCCAGCTGCACTCAGTACTTCTCTGGAAGAAGCAGAGAAAGGACACTCGCCATCTTTCCTGAAGGATGTAGACAAAGAAACTTTGCGGCCACCTCCTGCCTCAACAAGCCCAGAAAAGAGACACAATCCAGCCATCCTCCTTCCACTAAGTGTCTCAGGACCCTCAGTGTGGTTCCCAGAGCGTACGGAGAGGACTCTGTCACTAAAGGATAAACCCAGAATGTCTGGGATAGGGTCGGCAAGAGCTTTAAATGGGGGCACCTAGCTGCCGTTGCTCCTATCCTGGCATGAGGTTCCGATAAGACCTGGTGTTTGTTCAGGCTCAAGGCCTCAGCCGCTTAATAGTTTCCAGAAGAGCTAACAAGAGCTGGGTTTTCTCACCCCCAGCCTTCTTCTGGGGAGGCCCGGGGGAGACTCGGCCCCGGGCCCCGCCCCACCCCCCGCGTCCCCGCAGGGACCGGGTTNCTCCAGCTGCCCCGCCAGCAGGTGGGGAAGAAGCGGCCCAGCAACCGACCCCCACCTGCAGAGGTGGGAAGCGAGGTGGAGGAGGGGGCGGCGCCGCGGGCGTGGACCCGCCCCAGCCATCGGAGGCTGGGCGGGCGGGCCGCGCACAATAACCCCGGGGCTGGGGGAGACCACGGAGCCGGCCAAGACCCGGGGGTCGGAGTGGAGGCCGGGAGGGCGTGGGAGCCGACCCGGAGCGCCCGAGGGACAGGGGCGGGGGAGGCCCGGAGGGTGAGGG